AATGTTGTCGTAGTGGTTTACGTAGTTTACGTTGCGAGGCAGTTTGATGCTTTTACCTGAGGTCCTAAGCCCTGCGATTGCCATTATTCAAGGCACATATGCTGTCGATTTCATTTATGCCGTCCTGATAGACCCCTTGAAATGCGTGTGTAAACAATCGCAAGGATTCCGCACGGTCGTTGAATTTGCAGGAAGTCGTTGCGTCAGGCCACACTGGGAAGCGATCGCACTTTTTTGCTCGCGTGACAACGATTCTTTGTTCATGTTTTCTTGAATAATATTTGGATTTTGGTAGTTGTTCCTGTAAAGTGCTACCGCCATGCTTGTCGTTGTGTTATCTGACTAAATCTTTTCATTGCAGTTTGTCAACAGATGTTTGTCTTTCGACAGAAGAACTGCCACCAGACTGTGTGTCCGAAACCACTTTATTTAATTCCACTTTCTTGTAATCTAGTCGCAAGGCTGGTGGTGCTAGCACCGTTTCCACTCTCCCAGTCTTTTGTAATACTCACCTTAGAGCTACTTCCACGTTTGACATGGACTCTCAAAAATTTGTGCCAACGTCGTCAGAAGGTGTCACTGCAGTGGTCATAAGGTGAGGTTTACTATATTGTGCAAACAAACGCACACTCAGCTGTTAGAATCATATTTGGACAAAGTTGTTTATCTTCGTTTAACACATCATCGCTGCGACATGAATACCGAATGATTTACGGTTCTCCACTGTGACCATACACGTACACTCACGTCGAAGTGGTGGAAGAATAAATTTTAGTTTTAACGCCTATCGTTTATCACTAGTTGGTGGGATGTCAGGCGAGGCGAGACAATAAATCTTGTTCTTTATATAGCGAAACAGTGTTAGAATTTTAAATGGAGGAACCTTCTAGGACTGCGAAGCAGACTTTTACAGTAATTTTTTAAAATATTTCCAAGGATTTATAAACATCACCATGATTAGGCAGTGTCGATGCGGATGTCTACTACCCAACCCGTTAATTTGTTGAATAGCTGAACAGGGAGTGATTACAATTTGCCTATAAATTCATCGGTTTGTGGGATATCTCCACACCTACAAAAGGATAGCTTATCCTCAAATAGTGTTTCATATACTTTGCAAAATTCAATTTTAATTTATCTCATATAAAAGCGTCTACGATAGTGGATGAAATAAGGGCGGACGTCTCTGTCTCCAAATTGATCCAACTACTGATGTGCAAAAGAGAGCAGTCACGCCTATAACAGAATTCCTGTTTGCGCACTACAGTTTCAGTGGGAATCTGAATAATCTGGGTGTCTTCTTCTGGCTTGGAAGAATTCGAAGAATGAGGAGTCCTGTTTTTATAGTGGGATGAGACATGGGGCATTGCCTAACTTAAACAAGGTCAAAGATACCCACCAGTTTCACTCATCTTGTCAGTAGCCAGTAGTAAGTAAGTAGTGAAATAGATGTAGAGGACAAAAAGCCTTGTTGCTAGCTCCTGGTTACTTTAATTCGAATATGTCGAGGGGTGTAGAGATGTGCGGTGTGTGCCAAGGTAAGACACACGTGGCGCGTTTGTACTCGGTTTTAGATGGTGCAGCTATTCGATACAACTTGGTAGTTGAAGTTAAAACCAAGAAACTAACCTCCGATCGCCTGGCCGGTGTTAATGCAGGGGAGCAAACAACTTGGAAGTATGGTCTGATGAGGTGCTATCGAAACCGTGCCAAACTCTACTCCGGCTAATTTATAGTTGAGGGAAGCACTTCATCAGTAACCCAAAATACGGAAACGTGTGAGATGCTCGTCAGCTTGAACTGTAAAAATAAACATCTGTAAGTTGTTTATCAAATTATGTTCTGAGTTGGAGTCTTCCGATGGTTGAGGCTGATTACTGGGCGTGGAGAGATCAAAATCTCATGAGGGTAGACGAGGCAAGGCGATGCCTTCTGTTACATTACTAGAATAAATATGAATAATTTCAAATAAGGAGTTTTTGTTCAATCTACATCAAACTAGCCGTCCCAGGGGGAACACAGATGCAGCTCTCTCTAACAAGAATCGCAATTTATTTGTTTATTTGTTTACCACAATGTAGTGATTTGATATTTTTAGTTCATGTTGACCACGCGAGCTCCACAATCTCTACAGGATCTACTTGGCTGGATCTCATGGCACTGCCCTTCTGTAAGTTCACAATAAATTTTCGCCCACTTCAAGGAACACTCAAAGCCAAACAGAAATTTTCCTTTTTTACTTCTTACTGGTAAATAATCTTGAAACTGTGTCGAAACATGAGATGGCGGATTTTCCTATTCGCTTCATTGTTACTGTGTGGAAGCTGGAAAGCTCTTACAAAGCTAGTTCTACTTTGCATAAAACATTAATTCCAAACATCATATAATACAGTAAGCAAGAGGTACTGGAGTGAATAATTTGAACTGTTTATTGAATATGTGTGGCTTTTCAGAGTGACGAGTGTAAGGGAAAAAAGGTCATTAAATGGAGGGATTGCTAGTCGACTACGTTAAATTTTAATAATTTGTTTAACTCTGGGTTTCAGTAACGGGGCCGGCCGGCCAACCGACTGACCTCCAGGCCGTGTCAGTAGCCCTCATGGGCCTTCCGCACACCGGAAATACATATTCTGTCTCCCTATCCTGTCTTCCTTTGAGCTCGGGAAAGACTGGGAGTGCTACATCCATTTCTCGATCAAGCTCTAAAAAATTGACGTCTTATATTTATAAATAAATGGATTTAACTTGCTAGGAATTACGGGTCCCGTGCAGTTTGTGTTTGAATATTCCAATCGAAATTACGCAAAATTAGGAAACGTCCATCTCGTTATTTTCCATTTTCTCAAGAGGCAAAAGTTAGGTGTTTGCCTGTCGCGAGCATGAATAAAGCGGTAGTCATTACAGTATTTCCCAACAAAATATTCGACAGTTTCCCTTGTGGATGCTGTTACCACGAAGTACTTCACATTCAATCATAAGGTAATTTGGAAGACAATGAACACCTATTTGTCATTTTTAGTTAATAAAGAGCATAGGTGTTCCAGGTAGATACACCTATCGAAGAGGATAGAAGCGTGGGCCTTCTGTAGATCACTCAAATTGGTAGGGATAATGTAACAGGTTCTCTTGTCCTGGCGCATACTGAACGTGTGGAACTGCCACGAACGATGTTTTCTTTTTTGCCATACGCGTAGTAATATCACCAGATTGATTTAGAAGTTTACATCAGAGAAGCCCCTTGTTTTAGAATAAGAATCAAGGTGACAAAAATCTGATTCACAAATTTCGCCATTAAACTTTAAGCGGAGCCTTCAAAAATAATGTCAATAAATCCAGTGGTCTGAATAGTATACTCTTGTACTAAGTTTCGTTTGCTGTCGGACGCATGGTTTTCCTTCAAGAGAAAGGCGCTACTTTTCAGTCACTTTTCCACCTCGATAGTGGGGAGAGGGAGAGGGGAGGGAATATGATCGAGAAGCAGATACTGCTGGAGGTGTTAGGAGGACCGGTAGGTGTTTGCTCCCCGATCAACGCAGACTGAGCGGCATCACGAGACGTGACCGACGCCCGGGACGGGAGAATGGAGATCCTAGACAGTTGTAGACGTAAGCACCTCTCTGAGTGATCCCTGATGGATGGCTGGCCAATGTTTGCATACACAGTACAGAAGTCAACTATCTTTAGGCTTGTCAGGGATGAACGCTAAATAGACCTGGCCTGCCGGATGCTAATAAACTGTGGTTCTTAAAAATTGTGTTTTCTTTCCTTGGTGATTTGGCTACGGGCAGATCCATATCTAAGCCAGGACACCCCAAGGTTATTATTTATTATTTTTTGAGTTTTCTCCTAGCACACCTTTCCGGAAAATCACGTTTGAGTCTTTGGGATAGACTTTGGTTATTCGTAAGAGTGAAGTAGGTGAAAAGTAAAAGGCTAACAGATCACTAAGTCAGGATCGGCATTGATCACGAGTAAGTCTGTGATATCATGCACATGACCTCTTTTTCTAGTGTTTTTCATTAACCTCTGTCACAATGCCATTAGCAGCAGATATCGGCAAGCTTCTCTCATTGTGAGCATGCTTGTTAGTCACAGCCTCAATAACGTCCCCACAGATGTCAAGTGACATGTTTTGATTGATGGGAGTTAGGGTGCCAAGTGTGAGAAGTAAGGCGATTATGATGACTTCCATTTATTGAATCCTGGGTAGCACAGGGCGTAAAAGTGATCACGCTAAGATATGTAAGGACCTGACACTTGTCTTTGTTAGCTTGATTTAAATCACTGCATTAAAGCAAAGATATTACGGGGAAAAAAGTGAAGGTAGGATAGGTTTCTTACTGATTTGCCGCTAATCATGCCTCAATACTGCTGACTGTAACCTATTTTTTTAGTTTATATAGCTCAAAATGGGCTTCGAGATCCTCCATTATTAAAAAATACAGAAGCCTGTATAAAGGATTTTAAGTCCATAACTTGACTTGTTACTAGAAATTTTGATTATGTGGATTCTCTAGTCATCGCGCTTGATGAAGTGGCCCTCCCGCTATGTCCATAGTCTCCTGGCGCTTCTGTACATTGGTGACAAATCTTCCATCATGGTTTAAATTATTACATTTTTAAGGGGGGGGGGGGTTACACGACAAAGGGAATAGCTTGCCTATTTATCGTCTCTATCATCTTCAACGCTCTACTGCTGGGGCTGTAAAATAGGCTAAAACTTAGCTAGATCCGGAAGATATTGTACTCAAAAAGCAAATGTTGCTATCTAGTGATGTACATTTAACGCCTAATTACCCAGAAGAGAAGCTCATTTCCCTTCTAGATAAAATAAAAACTAGGGTGCATCCCCAACACATAAAACCTTCTTGAGTCCAACGATGTCTTTTCTCAGGCCTCAGTAATTGTGATGCAGATTGAAGCATTCGTAATCAAAAACGAATTCGTAAAACTTTTCCCTATTTTAAAGGTGTGATTAAAGTAGTTTTTGGTAAAATAAATAAAATTCCACCATAAATGTTTTTCTTGTGCTAAAATTTTAAAGTAATAAAATGCCTTTAAACATATAGCCTAGTCCAAGAATACATCGGCATTTATGTTTTCATTGGAATCACAGTAAGCATCCCTTAAAATCTGCACTTGGAAAGTGGGTTTATTTTCTGACGCCTTATGCCTAATTCAAGACAAGGCAACAATTATACATCCGATTTTTAACTTTGAAAAATACTGAGCTTTCAATTTTCGTGTCAAGGGCATCCGCTCCACCAAAACTAAAGTGAATACCGACTTGGCAAGGTTGCAAAATTTTCTTCCGGACCGAAGGATGAAAGCACATTTTTGTCAAATAATGAAAAAAAGAAGATCAACATTATTACTATTGTATGCTTTACAGGAGGAGGAGGATGCGATTTCAAGTTCAGCATTAACGTAGCAACAGCAACGACAACCTGCACGGTGACCACGGTGATTAGTTCAATGAGTTACTGCATTGTGTTCGGTCACCTCAGTTCATCTGCCATCCAATAAAATGCACATAATTAGCAGTCAAACGAAAGTGGGGCTTGGGCATTGTTGGGTCTTGTAGTTGAACGTTTGGTTGAGTCACTCAACATTCACTGACGAGTGGTGTGTACCATGGATGATGTGCTAAGCGAGCGATTCTCATAGAATAAGGCAGACAAGTGACCATCTACGTATTAATGATGTGCTGTGCCAAAGGTAAAGGGGAACATTTTTTTCACTTCGCAATTGGAAATTTGGTTGCAAATAGGATTAAAATATTTAACACGATGGTTACAGGAAACTCAAGAGAAGATCGACCACCAATCATATTCCAATCACTTTTTTGCCCTAAAGAAGGAAAAATGCGCAATCGACTGTGGATGAAAAACAGTCTTCGTCTATTTCTTACAACTTTGAAACTAATAGCTTTGTTTGGAAGAAAATTTAATTCAAGCAGCCGCGCTTTGGGCGTCACGCATATGTGACGCTGTTAGTGAGTATGTTAAGACAGTTTATCTTTAACGGCTTGGCTTAAGTTGTTCTTAAAATACCCCTTTTAAATTATGCGTTTTATATTAGCTGCTTTCAGCACGCGATTGACTTCATTATAAATGCAATTGAGATTCCGCTCTACAATGAGAGAGCAACCCGAATGCCCACTTTCCACTTTGGCGTGTTTTCCTTGCTAGCTGATGATTAATGGTCGCACCAAATCGTATCGCAGACTAGTCCCATTTATAGCAATGAATTGTTTTCTATTTTTTGAACCGAATAACTCTAGATCTGACGTCCTTTGGGGCTGAGATGGTGGACTTTTCTACCAAAACCACGACGGCAAACGTGCTGATGCTGCCAAAGTTGGAAAAAATCATTGAATATATTCTTCTACTATCCATGCTGCATAATTATGGCAGAGATCTATTTTCAAATCTGCGACTTTTAGACTTCTCTCCCATAACTTCCGCTCCCTTTTTTGAGATGTCTTCAATTCCCACGAGTCCCGCGGCCCAATTGTGAGTCGAAAGAAGCAGTAACATCCTTTGTTTCAATAGTAGGCACAAATTATAGTATTAACTTCAAAGGATCCTGCCTTCACATCATTGCACTTTTGAACCCGTAAAACGATCATAATGCCTGACCATTATGACAATGTCATAATGTGATGTAGCAAATTTAGTCTATGATTTCTCCACAAAGCTGCATCTATTTTCACTGCAGTTGCACTCC